CAAACAACAACAAAGGACAGACGGACGGACGGACAGACGGACAGACGGACCCCGACAGTCATGCCTAATTTATGTGAACGAAATGCCAAAAATTCCATTTGAAACAAAGGCCAGGAGGCAGAAGAGCACAAATTGAAAATGACAAATTGCATTACGGGGCAGGACTAGGGCGGGGACGGGGGCGGAGAAGGATATATGTACGTGAAGAGGGAAGAAGGAAGAGGGAAGAAGGAAGAAGGAGTGGTGTTGACCACAAAACTGACAGCACAAAGTGTGCAAAAAGTGAGCAACAAATTTGTCGAGTCCTGGATATTCATTTATGAAGACAGAACCAGCCCCGGCACCAGCCCTGGCCCCGGCTCCAGCCCCGGCAAACAAACAACAATGTGGCACATAGTCAAAAGGCACAAAGGGCGCTCCACCAATCATAGAAGCAGGGACATGGGCATGGCTTTTCGGCTACACTTTCTCCATGGCAGCCAGCCGATCGACTCTCCTCTCGTAATACCCTTTTAAAAAGGGAAAACAAAACCAAAAAAAAAAAAAAACAAAAATGTGTTTACAATATACAGGAAAAACAGACAACAGGAAACCCGCTTAAACCGATTTCATAATCAAAGCCGTATTACTGCCCTAACCTCAAACCACACACACACACACACACACACACACACACACACACACACACACACACGCATGGATAGCATCCCCCTCACGCACCAGAGGAAAATTTAATTATGAGCCAGAGTACACACACAAATTGCTGTTGTTGTTGTTTTGTTTTTTTTTGTTTCCAGCGTGAAATATAATTAATTTGCTATTTTTAAAGGCCAAAAATGGTGGAAATTTGGCTGAAAAATTGGCTCCAAAATAATTTCCAAGGGAATAGCCAATCCCCACCCTCGCCCATCCCCTCCCGGTGGATCGCATGAGTAACCGCAGAAATTTCATTACATCTGTAAATAATAAAGCAAATAAATTTCGACTGCTGCCTTTTGCTGGTTACGGAGAAAAATGAGGAAAATGAGGAAATTATTCAACTCAATTATTTCTCGCTGCATGAGGGTGGGGGGAAACTGCAGCTGTTTGTGGTGATCAGGGGCAGGATGGCTCAGCAATGGCATCTATAATATATTTAGCGAGTCTGCGAGAGTCTGTTTCGGAAGTTTCAGGCCACTAAGTCGCTCTTTGAAGTCCTCCGATTGTCAAAGAGCGCTGTCATTTCTATGCTACTTAAGACCGAACCAAAGCCCACCAATCAATGCGAGATGCAGCACTGGAATGCATTTAACAACTCACTTTGCTGCCATTTAAATTGGCCATCAAAGCGGCGCCACTGGCACTCGCTTTGACAGCGTCACAAGCACGCAGCGGAGGAGAGAAAAGAGACTGCGAGAGGGACAGAGACAGAGACAGAGAGAGGTGTCTGTGACATATATGGGGGGTGGTATGGGGGTGGTATGGGGGTGGTATGGGGGGGGATCGGTAAAATAATGTACAGTATTCCATTTGGCAGCTGGAGGACAGAATTCGGCAATACCTGCCGTGGCTTTGGCCCTGCCAGACATCGCAGTCATGTCAATAAATTATGTACTGGATTTTCACACAGATACAAGTCCGCACACACGTTTACACACGCACACGTGTACACTTGTATTTGTGTGTCGGTTATTTTGCATTTGAAGCCTTAGACGCGTGATTTATGCCCAATATGAGCAAAATCATGCGAGTACTCAAAGTGCGCGAAAGCACCGGAGAAAGCAGCAGAGAAAGCAGAGAAGAACCAGGCAAATATACATAAATTGCAGTGCTCCGCCGCTATAAGGTACAGGCTACAATCTGAGGCGGAGCGGAGGAGCGGAGGAGCAAAATCAAATCATATTTTCACATTAAAAATGTACCCGGCCATAACGGCAGCCAGGCAATCCTGGCATCCCCAATAAAAGCGAAACGTGTCATTCTCTGTCTCTGTTTTGCGTGTTTTTTTTTTTCTTTTTTTTTTCGCCCGTCAAAGAAAAGTGAAATTCCTCGCCAAATTGCCGGAGTTTTTTTTTTCATCATGTTTGTCCTGCAAGGATGGGTGCTACAGGGTGCGCGTAGGGCGTTTTTAGGCAGCGGAAGGAATGCGACACAAAGAGAATTACGTTGACAAATGAAAATGTCACCAATGATGATAATTTATTTTCCCTTTTCTCGATTGCCCTGCCCCGGCCCCGGCCCCAGCCACAGCCCCCGCCTGGTGCTCGGACACAGCCGTGTGCCACATTCCTCGGGCATTCTCGCTTTCATCCGACGACAGCTGTGTCCCGAGCAATGCGCAATTAAAGGGAATATTCGACAATTGCTCGCGGGCTTGAGCTTTTCGGGGAACTCAGTTTCCCCAAGTGGGGGCTCAGACGGTGGTTGACAGGGCCACATTTGAGCATTTAGTATCTTGAAAAAAAGAAATACTCTTACCTTCTGTTTCGTTTTTTGTTAAGCCTTGCTTGCAGCCTCAAAGCTCTGCCCAGAAATCGGACGTCGTGTCTGCCTTTCGCTTTGAGGCCGTTTTTCACTCGCACTTACACTCACTTTTTGCCCTTTGTGCCTTGTGCACCTCTTTCAGTCAAGCTGTGCTTTCAATCACTCTCGCTCTCGCTCTCACTCTTTGCGAAAAAACATTCAAAATACAAAAACAAAAAGAACCGCAACAAAACTGAATTAAATGGTGCGTTTAGCGAGAGCTTACATGATAGATCATGTCGCGGTTTGGAATCTAGAACCGATTGATTTCACTGACTTGTTGAAAAAGAAAAAAGAATGCGAAACTTAGACACGCGTTTTAGACGACCGCTTTGAATGTGGCGAGCGAGGGGGACAGACTGGACTGAAAGCTGCGATAAGAGTGAAGCTGCGTGGGAGTCTCAAAGCTTCTTCGAAGAATGAGAGCGAAAGCTGATAGAGCGTAGTGTAGAAATAGCTTGCGTTGGCGCGTCATAAGAGAGGGCGTGAGAGGGCAGCAGCAGTGCAGCGTAGGAGAGTCAAAGCTCAGCTTGCAGATCGGCTGGCTCGACTTCTATTTGTCTCACAGCAAGAAACGAAACCGAAAGTTGATGTAGGTCAGGGCCTGCTCTCAACATAGTGTTCTCTCTCTGTTAGCTCGCTGCTAAATTAACATGCCCCTGTTAGGCCGTAAGAGAATTTGTTCTGCCGCTGTTAGCTCGCTGCTCAACCTCTGGCAGCAGACACGGCGACCAACTGTAAAATTCAAACAAACAAAAACACAACAAAAACGAAATGAGACGAAATCGATTTGCTTCATTAATGGCTGATGCGTACAGCGTGAACAGAATATTGTAGGTGTGGTGTAAATAACATATCAAATCGATTTCGTGTCGGCGCTTCTGCTGCCAATTCGTGTCGTGTTGCATCTGGCCGATGACCAAAGTATGGCTTGACTTGCTGGCCAGTGCTGAAGTGTTAGCCGATGTGTTAACCGAACATGCTATCGGCGGCCTTCTCCAAGTCCCAGTTCTCCTTAGAGAGGATCAGGCGCGCGCCGTGCTCGTCGATGCTCGTGTTCAGCTCCCTGAGATCTTGGATCTTCGCGTCACAGCCGGGAACGGTGTGGGAGCCGCCTGCGTATGCATTGGTCCAGTGCTTGGCGGTAAGCTGAAACACATCCTGGTGTTCCTTGAACTGGAGCCCCACCTCCCTGTCCTCTATGTAATCCGGCTCGGCAGCGGACAGCCACACCTGCAAGGACAGCAGAAAGGCGCGCAGCGACGTCGCCACCACCCAGCTGTCGTTGAGTAAGCGCTCGCTGAAGGCGCCAGTCTCCGAAGAGACGTTCGGGTGCCAGACGCGCGTGAGGAAGCGCACCTGCGACGAGATGGGGATTGTTTTAGTCATTTACCTGCGGCCTAGGGCTGCTTTAGGGACACCAACCTTCGGCGGATTGAACGGAAATGAATCCGGCACTTTAATGTCCAGTACAAAATTCCCGCCCTCGTAGGGCGTGTCGGCGGGCCCGGTTATCTCGCCCCGCAGCCATGACCACTGCCCGTTGACGACTTCGATTTTTATCGAGCACTGGCCGCCGATCTGTCCGAGAGAGGCAAGTATTTGGGTTAGGTATTGCTGCGGCTTCCGCCGCCATGGGACTCCATGTTCTGATCGCCCCACTTACCTCCTCGAAGCCAATAAATTGCTCGAACTCTTTCTTGACGCGAGTTTCAGCTCTATTCGGCATGATGTATGTAGATCTGTGTGTTCCCAGCGCAGTTTCTAGGATTTTGTATTTGTTTATATTTTTGTCCGACGACAATTGTGTGACTGACTTTCTGTACTGTTTCACAACTGACGTTTTATTCTTTTGTTGTCGATTTGGTGTTAAATTGAATGCACAAGGAGGCGGGCATGATGTGCTCTAAAGTTCTACCCGATACTCTGACTCAGCATATATCGTATGTATTTTATCCGCCGGGACCGTTCTCGGAGCCAATGACTGCCCCAAGCCCTGGCACTGTTTGTCTCTAGCTCTGCCCCTTTCCATCGAAGGACCTATTATATGCGAATTTTATATAAGATTTCATATGTTTCCGCAACATCTGACCCGCTCTCACTCTTCACACATCAACGCCAGCCGTTAAGCCTCGCTCCCAGAGTCCCAGAGTGTGGCTATATATGGAGATCATAATATGGTCATCCATCCGTGTATACGGATAGGCTTTCTTCTGGGTGTACCCCTAGAGTCCTCGAGAATCGTGCATACGAATCTCGTGACAAAGGGTTTTTGGTTCAATTGTGCCCAAACCCAAATCTCAAACCCAAATACAGTAGTCTTTGAAAAACACGTCTTTGTGACTATTTTTCAAGAAAAACAAACGAGTGCAGAAGCAACAACTTCGAGCCTCTTCGACTGATTGAAAATTGGGAACTGAATATTGTAAGTACGTGAAGGGTTAGAGAGACAGAGAGAGAGAGGGCGTGGCACTTTTTCGCATTCCAGATCCCACGAAATGTCCTGTCGCTTCACTGAGCACAAGAAGGAAAAGCGTGCGCAGCAGGTGCTGTACACGCGCGGACCCGGCTCCTCACTCAAATGGCAGTGTAATGGCAGCAGCTTCCGCAGTCGGGCCGGAAGATCCCCGGAACGATCAGATGAGCTCCAACGTCACGGCCATAGAGGGAGGTCCAGAGATCCTTCCAAGGAGCGTGACCACCATCGCGACTGTGAGCTCTCCAGACGCACCAACCAGAGTCGTCGCTCGGACTCGCCAGATCCAGGCGAAGGCCCTCGCCTTCAGAGCATCAGTTGGCGGCCCCGTTCCCAGCAGCCGAGCGCCGCACAGCAGGATGACCCCCAGAGCCAGCCAGGGCTTGGACTAGGCAGAGGCGGGTCGTCTGTTCCGTGCGCCCGAGACCGCATTCATCGGGAGACACAGGAGAGGCTGAAGAAGCTGCGGTCGACCTTGGCCAAGGACCCGAAAATGTCGGCCACCGCCAAGGCGGGGACGAGCGGCTCCTACTTCGCCAACGATGGGTCTTTCTTGGATATTTTCAAGAAAATGCAAGAGGAACAGAATACTATCGCCCGGGAGAGTATAAGCGCAGTCGGTCCCTACATTGTCGCTACGGCGGTCGGCGCCCCAGCTCCACCGCCCCTCTGCGTGGGACGTCGTCGTGGTGGCAAGGCCCTGAAGACCGGCCGGGTGCCCAAGCTGCAAGATCGCGCCAAGAAGATGGTGGATCCAAAGGACTTCTGGTCCGTCTACCTGGCCGAGGTCGAGAAGTACAACACCACTGGCTGTGAGAAGGCAGAAGGCCATTCCAAGTTGGTCAAGTAAGACCACGCCCACGACCACTGCCCCATTTGTTGCTCTACTGCCCGTCAATGCGCTAATCCCAGTGCAGGTCCAAATAAACTCAAATCTGGCAAAGTCGGTGCTTATTTACGGATGAAAAGTGGATGGTAGTGGTGGTAGTGTTAGAGCTGGCCGGAAAAACGATAGTAATCGGTATTGAGAGTGGTTGCAATAGCCCCTGCAACATCCGCCTCCGATTTAGCAATCCAATTCTGCTCCACTCGTACCAAAAGTGTCTTTCTTCTGGGTCTCCATTGACCCCACAGATCCTCGGTGGCATGCGGTACATACATCTTGCACACAGCACGGAATACGGGTGTTCCAATCACCATCATCATCAGCGTCGTCGTCTCATGATGACGGCAATACCTTCTCTGTGCGGCAGAACGGGGGTAACAACTTTCCGGCTCATGTGCCTTATGCGCCTTATGCGCTTCTTACGCTTTCCACTCAATTCGGTTTGATGGGTGGCGGGAAGAGGTGAGGAATGGAGGAATGGAGCAATGGGGCTGGGGCTGGGGCTGGGGCTGGGGCTGGGTGACGCGTTGTGCGCTATTAAACTTTTTGGCATGATATTACCGTTATTTGCCTTGGCCAACAGAGGGAGAGAGAGGGAGAGAGAGAGAGAGCGAACATATGCACATACTCGGATATGGCGAGAGAGAGAAATATATGTACTTACTTGTCATATAATAAACTTTTATGTTAACGGCTTTTGATGTCTTACCAAAACGGCAAACAGAGTCCTGCGACAGGATAGCGCACACATGGCCTAGTCCTGCCAGCCAGGCCATCCCATCAGCAAGGACAGCCAGACGGCCGGACGGCCAGACAGCCATCCTGCCAGGCACTTAATGCCCATTCCTTTCCATTCCTTTGGCTTTGCCTTTCCTGGCTTACACTTTTCTTCTTGCCGTTTGCATTGCGGCTTTATTAGGCTGAAAAATGGAAAATGCCGCCCCCGAAAAATACGAGAGAACAGAAGAGAGAAACTTGCAATCTCCCAGTAGGCAGGCACTCACGTTCCATTGTCTGTGTGGGCCATTAAAATTTTTTGGCCAAATGCATGAATAGCAATGGAAAATATTTGCATAAATCTTTCCCGGACTCCCAGCCCGGCGGGAGGCCATCACGGCGCAGAGCAGAGCAGAGCAGAGCTCCATCCCAAAAACCAAACCGCACATCAAACGGAGAGGGGGAGGAGTGGGGCTGTGGGGGAGGGCACTGTGTATGCCTGTGTGATACACATATTTATCATTAAATGGTAATACCCAAAAAAAAATCTTTATTGAAATTTCCATACCGATTTCCATAGTTGCGTAGCTACGCTGCTTAAAAATTAAAAACAATTTCATAACCTTTATAATGCGTTGCCATTTTTGTTTGCAACAAAGGTCAACAAAGTTTGTTTTTTTGGTTTTCTGTTTTTCTGTTTTTCTGTGTGTGTGTGTGTGTGTGTGTGTGTGTGTGTTTATTACTGGCTAGTTTTACGCTTAAACATTATTTTATTTGCTTAATTGCAATTATTTTGTATGGTATATTCCGCTGTCCCGTTTATAGCAACATTAATTTTACCCATTAAACATTCATTTACATGTCGCGACTAATTTTGCATGCGTTCGGTTAACATTATTAATATCCATATATATGTATATACTTATTACATATATGTACTATATATGAATGCATTATCTGTATATATAGTGTGTGTGTGTGTGTGTTGGTGTGTGTATGACTACCACATAAATTGTTGAGTACAGGTTTATAGTTTATTCATATATGGTATATGCATGTTATTTACAATTTTGATCGGATAAATTCGGGCCCGTTTCCGTTTTCGGGCCATGACTCCTCAATGAATGGCGGCCGAGCAGTGTCACAGTGGCCTTTAGTGGACTTTTAAATGTGGGCCACACGTACATACAACACATACACATGCATGAAGGGGACTCACTCACTCAGCCAGTCACTTACTCGCTCCTTCAAGAAATGGAAATGCAAATATTCAACCGACAAGAGTGCTCGGCGGCAGTGACTCGGCAGTTCGGGCAGGGGCTGAGAATATGCAACCGGACATGCTGAAATAGAAGCTCTAAATATTGCTGGAGTTGGCCAAGACGACGACAGAGAGTGGTGGAGTGGGGGAGCGGTGGAGAAGGGCAAGGAACCCATTGCAGGAATTGGTAACGGGAACAGGAACTTCCCACATGACTGGCACTAGCCCCAAACGAGTCCCTGCATATCCTTGGCCGTAGGAAAACTCTTAAATAAATTGTTAGCCTCGGAAGGTCCTACTTCAAAGTGAAGCTAGCTTTTGGCAGGAATTTCCCATACAATTTTGATGTCCCCATAGATTATTAAAAAAGCCAAAGAATTCCCCAAAACGGAAAACTCTTCTCCGAGTGTCCGTACATTTGCCTAACTTACGAAAATTCTAAACAAAAAAAAAGACAAAAAATTGTAGTTTAGGAACCTCTGACAAAGTCCACATAAAAATATTCTATTGTATTGTATTGTATTGTATGGTATTGTATTCCTAACTATTTACACTGCTTAAGGACTACGTCTACGCTATACAGGGTACACCCAAGAAACACAAGAAATCCCTTTAGTATTTACAACAATCTGAGTAAAGTTTTCGCTACGCAATAATGTCTCTATGTATAGGTAGTATCTAGTGTCTAGTATGTGTAGTACTCGTATTCCTTGAACAAACTGGGCTGAACTGCACCTGAACCCGCTTCCGAACCCGAACCTGAACCGGAACCTGAACCGGAACCTGAACCGGAACCGGAACCTAGCTCTAGTCTAAGCTGGCCATATGATTTTGATGATTCGTTCAAATGGTCTCTGCGTTTAGCCGGTCTCTGCCCGGGTCTTATGTACAAGGCTGCGGCCCAGCCAAAAAAAATTTCCTGCTCGGCTAACTAGATCCTTGCACACTTAATTAGAAACACTCTTACTTACAACTTAGGAGGAGCAGGAGCCGCAGGAGCAGGAGAAGAAGCAGTTGCAACATCTTTTCATCATTAGCATAATTAGTGGGGGGTTTTTTGTGTCGTTCTTAAAGGTATTACATGCAGCTCAACTCTGAAGAACTTTCGAGGGAAACGGAAAACGGCTCCTTCTGCTGCTCCTGCCGGCCCCTGCTGTGGCTGCTATAAATCATTTCTGCTGCAGCTCTCTGCCTCATTTAGGGGCGGGCGCTGCTGCATTGGCGGTGGAATTCCAACGGAGCGACATTAATTTATCACCGTGCATTCCTGCTGCCACTATTGACAGGGCCGCCGGCGGGCGTCATCATGGGAATGGCATTCTCCTGGCCAGCACCAGCGGGGCAGCAGCTTGTGCTCGGAAACTCTGGGTCGCGGCCGGGTCTCTCCTTGGCACGACCTCCTCCGCCGGCAGCACCTGGTCCACCTCCGCCCTGGAGCAGCAGCGAGGAGCATGCCTCCAACAATACAAATGCCGCGACCATTGTGCTAATTACTTTGACCGCCTGAGTGGCCTGGGCCGTGTGGCAGGACCAGCAGGCCAGGGCGACGGCGGCCGGCGCCGCATTCGTTTGCATGGCCTCGGGGCGTTCGCCTGTCCAAAGAGAACAGAACAGAACAGAACAGAAAAGAAGAGAAAAGAAGAGAAGATAAAACTTGAATGAGTAACAAATTTGTAGTCGAAAAGGCCTGTTCTCTCGTGCTCTTGTGGCTAGTTCATAAATTGCATAAAGTTTCGCCACAAGAAGAGACGGAGCCAGAGCCAAAGCCGGAGCCAGAACCAGAGCCAGAGCCAGAGCCGGAGAAAGATGCAACTTTTAATGCATACAAATCGAGGTCAAGCAGAAGCATGAATAAATAATTCACATTATCAGACTTTGGCATCAAATTAAGGCGGTCTTAAAGTCGGCCTCTGAGAGAGAGCGAGAGAGAGAGCCGGAAACCAAAAACTGAAACCGGAAACGGCCGACGGTGGCCCACACTCACCCTGCAGGACATGGACGCGTATGCTGGCTATCTCCGAGTTGGATGGATAACAGGAGTACTTTCCCGAGTGGAGCAGGTCCGCATCGTAAATGAGCAGAATGGATTTGGTCTCCTCCGATTTGATGGTCTTGAATTTCAGACGTCCTCCGCCAGTCTCCTCGCTAAGCACCTGCGGACGGTATAGAGCGGTGGAGAGGTGCAAGAATATTAAACAAAATTTTCCCTTGCTGAAAAGTTATTTTCAAAGTGTGGCAGCGAGCGGGAGTGGGGGAATGAGGGAATGAGCAAGTGTGTGGCCATGGGGCATGGGGTATGGCGTATACCCTAAATGCAAAAGCATGTTTTCTCATAATCATAAAAGCCAAAATTAAATACGTTGCGTATACGACGCGTAAACAAACGAGAACAAACTCGCACTCCACCCATCGCCCCCCAGCGCCGTAGCCACACCCCAAAGAGGCGCCAGCCCGGAGCTCATAAAAGTTAAAAACGTTTATCCCCCAGCAATTGGCTGGGCGTGGCACGGCGGGGCGGGGCGTCCTTCTCGATCCCAATCCCGATCCCTCTTGCCCTTGCCCTTGCCCTTGTACTTGCGCTTTTACGGCGCACCAAACTCAATTATTGCAAGATAATTTGGCACCAAAAAGGAAAACCTTAAATTGGTTTTTCGTTCGTTCTGTGGGCGCTTTCCCTGTAAATTGATTTCAAGGGAGTGGTTTGCTGTGCTGTGGTGTGGTGTAGCGCGGAGTGGCATGGAGTGTAGCAGCGGCGCTACTTACCTTGTCCTGGTGATACCAAAAGATATGGGTCGGCGGCTCTGGGCTGAACTTGATGATGCATGTAAGATTTATGGTGCTGCCCTTGTCCACGTACAGATCGGGTCCTCCCAGAATGGTGGCCGTTGGCACTGTGTGCGGGAGAGAAACATAACGAAACGAAACGAAACGAAACATTGAAATTAGCGAACATTTTGCAGTTATGCCATTCATTATGCCCTGCATCAGAATGCTGCCCCTGCAGACCCCTTTCCCGGCAAAGCCTACCACTTGAGCTCTGCCAATCATTGGGTTACGTTGCCTAATCAGCTCCGTTCACAGCTCTCGCTCGTTGCCCCTCTTGCCTCTGACGAGTTTTGAAATTCCGAACTGGTCGTCCCGCCCACTGCCACGGCCATGCCCATGCCCAAGCCCCTGCCCATGCCCAAGGCCATGCCATGGCCAGTGCTAGAAATTGCCCAGCCTGTGTTTGAGCTGCATTTGACCAGTGACAAGTGCCGCTCCAGGCTGCAGCCCATCAGCAGACCAGTTGGCTGGGCCACAGTTGTTGCATGGAAATTTTCATAGTTGAGGAGGAAATGTTCTGCCAGTCAAAGTCAGTACGTTAAATAATCGATTACGGGCCCCGTCATGGGGGGGAGGGAGGATAGGATAATGGGAAATGGCTGGGCACCCATTCTGTTTACGAATACATTTCTGTGATTCCTTCCGCCCAACATTCGTTCAACACTCGTTCAACATTCGTGCTACCCCCGTGAGGAGTTTTCTGATTTAAATGCCAATCAAGCGACCTTTCATATAGGGGCAAACAGGATACTACCCTTTGGTCAGTTATGAGCCTCATAAGTCATAAAATGTTAGTCAGACGTTAATAGAGAAAGTTTGCTCTACAATTTTAAAAGTATTCTGTGTGCGGACTTAAAGATTTAAAAATGTACACCAATAGATTTTCGCAGAAAGTGGAATATTTAGAAAGAAATGGTTTTCAGTCACACTTTGATATTAGTAGGAAAATATTTAATTAAGATATATTTTATATTTAGTGTAAATTAAGTAGACTTCCCACCAATTTATTTTTGATTTTCTTTATTAATTTAAATATGTGTATTTGTCCCACATTTTTCTTGGAGCATACAAAACTGGCCCCATGTCCCACTCCATTTATCTGTTACGGTCGAATGTTAAAGATGTTAAATGTTAGGATAGAAGAGAAGCGACCGAGCAAAGAGAATGCTGTTCTTGGATGTTGCGCTCTTAAAATCTAGCTCTCTCTAACCGCAAGTATTTCCCAGGCTCATCCCAGCTCATTTCAACAATTAAAATCTTTCGACACTAAGCAATCTGTATATTTTTGTTTCATACGAAAAAAAAAACAACAAAATACCTGTTTTTCGTTGCGTAGTTTCGTCTTGAAACTGCTTCCGAAATTCCGCTCATGGAACAGAAAACTCAACACCTGATACCTGCTGTTTCACCCAACACAAGCCACTTGTTGCAGATGCTTTAAGCCTATTTAGCCACGTAGGTTTCAAGCCCTCTGCAAACATTTGGCAGTGCCGCACAGCCATGCAGCAAGAGTTGCAGTTGGTTCTCCTGAGTCTCGGGCTCTGGCTGAGATGCTGCCTGGCCATAGACTTTTGCGGGATTGAGGCCTGCCGGGGAATGGCTCATTTGGGCTGCAACAACAGCATGGTAAGCCACTCAAGGTGGGCTGTCCCATCTATGGCCTTTCAGCAATCTGTCTCTCTCTCACTCAGAAATTCGATCCAAGCTGTCTGCGGGAGCACACCGTAGTCAATATGGAGATGTACCGTCGGTATCTGGTGGCGATGCACAACATGTACCGCCAGAGGGTGGCGAGCGGGGAAGTGAGCGGGCTGCCAAGGGCCCAGCACATGCCGGAGATGGTGTGGGACATCTATCTGGCGCTGGTGGCCGAGTACCATCTGAAGCGCTGCCTGCGGGAGCTGCACAACCTGTGTGTGGCCACCGACGACTTCTCCGAGCCCGCATTCAGCTACGGCGAGGATCTGCAGCCGCGTTCCGCGCGCCTCACCTCGAACATGCGCCAGATGACCTTCCTCACCGAACAGTGGCTGCACGAGGTCTACCTACTGAAGAGCATTTACACGGAATCGGCGCCCAAGGCGATACGCAACATCATCACCGATCGCGCCGCCTACATGGGCTGTGCCGCTGGCCAGAGCTACGACAATCGGCAGGTTCGATTCGTCCTGATATGCTACTACGACTTGGGCCCCCCCCACCACCAGAAGCTCTACGCGACGGGCCACTTCAATGAGAGGCGCTGCCCCGGTGGCAGGAGCAGCCGCCACACGAACCTCTGCAGCACGGTACCCAAAAATGACTAGAAGCCTGCCAGAATAAATACTGCAAACGCTCTGAGTATAATTAAATGTGCCAGCCACTTGGGCAATCAAAATAGTGGGCAAATAGTTCTCGCAAAAAGAAAAAAAAAAACAAAAAAAAAACAACAAAAAAAAACCCTAAAAACACCGTAAAACGTAAAAACAGAGTGAGGAAAAACTGCGAAAAAGGTGCAAAATAATAAGAGGAGTAGCAGTAACAAGCTGGCAAAAGTTAGTTGGCAAAAGCTGGTTGGAAAGCAATTTGCTCCGTCATGAGCCAGAAAAATGTTCGCTCAAGGCGCACACAGCACTTGACTCCCCGTCCCCCATCGCCCATCCCCATGCCCGTTCCCGGAACAGTCTTCCATTCCCCATTTCCTCGTTTTCCCAGGAACCACACCTAACCAATCCGGCTGGCTTCCTTCACTTTCACTCTGTCCCACAACCTGAGCACGAAAAATGTTGTAAAATATTAAAAAATAATATGCATGCATGGCAGCCCTCAAGCACTTCCAAGCCCTCCCAGTCCCCTCACCCAGAATGGCTTTTTATCCCCACACTTTCGGTCTTCTTTCTGTCCGTGCTGTCTATCTCTCCATCTATCCGACGGGTGGGTGTCCGTGTCTGTGTCTGTGTCTGTGTCCGGGCTTACTCCGTGGCTTGGCTTACGGTTGGAGTTTTGTCAGTAGGCGAATATGAATTTTCAGAACAAACCGGCTACTGTCTGGATGGGCCCAAACATGCCCGCGAACTCGTCATCGCTGGATTGATAGACCCGATCGGCGGCTATATAGAAGGCGTCGTCGTTGTAGTACTGCTGCATCATGTTGCTGGTCTCGGCATCAATCAGATCTGGGGCAATCGGTAACCAAAAATATCCGCACAAACGAAACGAAAGGAAAACAAACAAACAAACAAATGGTGGTGTAATAAAAATAGAAACACGAATATAAATCAGTGAATAAATTATAACAAAATGGTAAACTAATTAACTTAAATATTTTTGACCAGAGCCCGAAGTCACAAATAGAACTCTCGCCCACTGTCCATTATAATTATTGCTAGAAAGTTCGGTAATTGTACTTTTCTGTTTTATTTTCATTAAATTATAATTCCAAGCCCGCTTCAAACATGACCAATTGTCTAATATATCAGATTGTGTGTTTATTTTCGGTTAAACAACCTCTCTACAAATAATGGAAATATAAAATTAAATAGAAATATGGCCGAAGGATTAAGGAGAATGTTTTTCCATATAAATTTATGGCTTTTTCCACCTTTATTTCGGTATTCCTTTATTCCTGTCAATATCCATTTGTGGCTGGGCTTAAGCCAGTTGGCTCTTCGCATCGGCTTTCACTCCATCAATCTTCCCGAAAGCATTTCGAAAATTTCCCCACATATTCCGAGGGGCAAATGGTGTCCGCCTGTATTTTTTTTATTTGTTGTATTTTTTTGTTGTATTTTTTGTATCCTGTTTTTCGACGATTGCCAGGTCTGCATAATTTACACTCTTGCAAATTGCATGAATATGCGAAAAAAAGAGATACTCGCAAATATGTGAAATTCCCCAAACCACCCCCGACCGAACCCCCGACCCGATGCCACAGGCATGGATTGTTGTATTCGTATCCTCGTATATTACGTATACGCAGTGTACAGCTCTGGCGGAAGCCAAACTGAAATATGCAGCAGCAGATCCAAAGGCTGGAAGGCTCAACCCGAAAGCGACACTCCAACGGTTGGATATATACTCGTACACCCGTACACCCGTACACCCGTATACTCGTATAGAGCTTGATGGATGGATGGACTGTGACGGTACTCACCCACAATGTTCAGGTTGACCGAATAGCTACGCACTGGCTGCGTCGATATCTGGCACTCGTAGATGCCGACATCCCTCTGCTGGGCATACTTGATCTGCAGTGTCCACTCGTCGATGTCCCGATGATAGGAGGTCTGGAAGCGCTGATCCGTCGTATAGGTGTAGGTGCCCACGGTGAGTATGTGCAGGTCCCGATGTCGTATCCAGGCCACCTAAGAACCGAACAGAATAAAACAAAAACCCCATTAATACGGACGGGGCCAAAAGCTGTCTCCGGTTTTTGTTATAATTTGTTCTCGGGCTGCTCCAAGCCGCAAAATTTATGCAGCTCACAATCTAGAAATTTTCATACAAGCTGAAATTAGTGTGCGAAACGCATGACAGACCCGGAAAATGATACTCGGGGTGACTCTCTGTGTCTGTCTCTGTCTCTGTGTCCTTGCAGCGTGTTTCCTCTCTTAGTGGCTGCCGCCTCTTCATTTCGACATTCAGTCGACATTGCCCCACTACATTTTATGCCTGTACACAATTTTTGAGTTGGATTCCTTTTGCTGGCTTTTTTTTCGGTGGAGTCCAGGTTTTGGCTCGCAGGCTCCTTGTTTATACGGCTAACTGTCTAACCAATAGCACACACCACACGGTCGGAGGGGGGTGGGGGGGGTCTGGGGAGAGACTGCGTCAGAGAGTCAGCCAACTGTGTTGCCTTGTGGCATCCATCTGTGCAGTTCCATTCCACTTCTGGCCACCGTCTGTCTGTCTGTCTGTCTGTCTGTCTGTCCGTCCGTCTCTCTATCTAATTCTGCAATAACAGCACAAAAAAATAGGGAACCCAAAAAAGTAGGAGCAGAGCAAACTTGTGCCCAGTCTGGCCATAAATTTACTGTTGGCCAAAACCGAGCCCCCTCTCCGTTCACTCTCCGTTTGGCCGGCCGACCGTGTGTAGTTTACTGATTGCGGAAGCGGATTTGGCTATGTGGAAATCTATGACCCGGCCTCAGCCATGACTGGAGCTAAATCGCTTAACGTAATCAACGTTGCCACAGCGTTTCGGCTTGCCAACACCTGAAAACTTTCTCATGCCCCATCCCATGGACGTAGTGGCTGCCAGTGGAAAAAACGTCCTCCCGGACGGAGCGAAAATTTGGCAAGTGCGTTGGAAGTATTTCCGCATTGTGTCTGTCCCGGCGCTGCGGCATATTGAAACAGGATATAGGAGGAGGCTGCCCCCGGCCACCCGTTTGTTATGGCAACCACTTTTGAATTTCGATTGCTGAAATGCAACACCCGAACTTAAAGTGCCGCGCCCTGGGGCTGGAAGACGACACTTTAATTGGGGCAAGCGAATCGAGTGACGCCATCGCCATCGCCATCGGAGATGGCCCCCTCTTCCTATGCGTGGCCCATGTGTGGCGAGTGCGTGGCAGGCCTGCCAGCTGCTGTCTGCTGTTGTCACGTATTACATAATAAACTGGCACCAAATTTAATAAGCATACTCCCCTCCGACCGCCCAGCCCCCTCCGACCGGACAGTCTCCCGACGACTATCTCGACCATCTAAGTGGATATGTGGTGGCATATTTGGCACACTTGTGGCCAGCCGGACCCTGAGCCCTGACCCCTGGCCCTTGGATGCCGACTGGGTCTCTTTGTTTATTAAATGTAAATAAAAATCAAGATTATTATTAATACCAAGTGTTTCCGTTTCCGTTGCCGTTGCCGTTACGGTCTCCGTCTCCGTCCATTCCGCAGGACTACTCACCGTCTTGTTGCCCAGATGCTTGACGCGACAGCCGAGATATGCGGACTTGCCCACCAGCGATGTGATGTTCCTGGGCATGGTCTGATCAAAGTACGGCTCGTTCCACTTGTGGCCGTGCGGATAATGCGACGGCGGCATGTGCGTGGGCTTCGACTCGGCATTGTTGTGGTTGTGGTTGTTGTTGTTGCTGCTCACAGATTGTCTCTGGTAGCACAGGGCCAGTCCTGCAGAAGAGAGTGATAAATGGGAGCGTGAGCACAATGGTGTGTGGCAAGTGCTAGTGCTCAGCACAAGTCATAGCAAATGGCTGGCTCTAATGTGGCAAGCACCTGCTTGCTAGCTGGTGACGCCACAAGGACCGCCCTCTCCTCCCTCCTCCCTCCTCCCTCCTACCCTCCACCACTCACTCACATTTGTCTGAGTTTAAGTGTGGCCGAAAAAAAAACAAAAAAAATAACCTACGAAAGGGCAAAAAATCCAAATGTGGCACAGAAAAATGAAAATGCCAACGAACTGCACCTTAACATGTTCCACGTAGTTTAATTAAAGCGATGACACCACATAGCACTTGGCCTGAAAGGGATCTGAGAGAGAGAGAGAGAGGTTGATACCCCTCGTTTTTATATCCTCTAAATGACACTGAAAAAGGGGTATATTGGAGCTTTCCAGAAGTATTCAACGGCAGCACTTCTATCCCTTCTACCGAATTCCGATGAGTATTCGAATTTCTAATAAAATAAAAGCCTTAACTATAAGTAAATCTCGTGGCAGTAGGACAGAATCATTGGGGTTATCGTTTCTTGAAACTTTCCCACCAAATGGAGGGTATCTGAGGGTCGTATTGTCTCTGGCAGTCTTCATACTTATATTTTCTTCCTTTTTTTTTTTGGTCTTTTAGTTACACTTTTCATTCAATGCGGACCCTGGAGCGCGGAGAGTTGCTCGAGCGGCCCATGGCTGGCTGATTCGCAGAGTGTGGACCATGTGGAGTGGCTGCCAGTGCTCTTGGTGGGTTGTTCCCTTAGTTGTTTCTGTTGTTTCCATTCCCACTCCCCAGTGCTGTGCTAGTGGTAGTAGCAGTGGCATTGCCAGTTGTTGTTACATTTTCATTTATGGCCGGCTGGCTGGGGTTAATTTTCTAATTACTCGACGCGACGACGACTTTCTATGACTTCGTCGTCGTCAGCATTTGCAGAATGGCAGAAAGCAGAAAGCTTTTATAGCCCACACTCAAACCAGTCAGTGGGTGGCCATATAAAAGGAACACAAACCCTTTTTCCAACAGCAACAGCAACAGCAAAATTGTTAAACTGTAAAACTGCAAAAATTTCATTTCCGCCTAAAAGGAATCGCAGAAACAAAATCCAAAACAAAAACAAAACAAAACAAACAACAACCTAAACTGACTCCCAAACGGCGCTGTTCATAAAACTTTGCCATTTACCAAAATGAATGAAGGGGGAGGGGCGGGGTGTTGAACGGGGAACGGAGAACGGGAACGGGGAACTGTTTAGCAGTCAACGATTTTTGGAGCTGAAATAATACTGGGTGCAAAAATACAAAAAAATTCACAAATGAAATCACAGAAAAAACAGCTTAGAAATTCTATTGAAATATATCGTACATATACGTACTCGTACAGGGAAAATCTGTGTTCCCTGGGGGGGGGGGGAAAAAAACTAAAAAACATCCCACAATTCCATGTGGGAAAAATTCTTTAGAATAACCACAAATTTTCCTATAATTGAAATAAGTATTTGCAGTATTCGGAAAAACCTGAAAGCCAAAAGAATCCATGCCACAAGCCGCAGCAGCACACAGAGCACGAGGGGAAGAGGATGAAGGGCGGGAAGGATGCATTCAATAGCCACCTACTCGTATAATGGCATTACTTACTCTACTCAAAGCTCATTTCGAGGAGCTGATGGAAACTCAACAAATTTTGCGTTTCAAACCGGAATGTCGCTTGGCCAAACGAAGTTGTGGCAGCCACAGAGAACCTTAAGGGGAGATGCAAGGGGGCAGTCGGCAGCCGGCAGCCTGCAGCCCGAAGCTCGACTGAAGCGCCTTTGATGGGTTTCCCAGTCGGAGGCAAATAATGCAGGAAAGTGAATGCAAATACCAGCACAGCCCAGCCCAGCCCAGGCCAGCCCAGCACAGCACAGCACAGCATTGGCATGGCGCGCATACGATATGCGTATTGCTTTTATAAAACTGAAACTGCAAATACCTGATGGTAAGACCTCCGTCCACCATCACCCATCCCTCCGACCAGCGGCCCCCGTCCACCAACAGAGCAATGTGCAGATTGTTTGTACGGACTCGTTAGCCAGGGCGCTTTTGTGCTGGCCCTCTGCCGGCCCTCTGTCTGGGGGGCAACTCATTTATTCATAGAAGCAATTTAAAGGCGAACAAAAAACCCCCCAAGGCAAAATCTGAACCGAGATCCGAGATCCGAGATCCGAGAATTATTCAGAGTGCGGCATTGGTTCGGGATTCATGACAAATTCCGCTAAAAGGTCAAGGTGCTGCAATGGAGAGAAAATCCCCTGGCCGGGTCACAATCGAAGTCACTTGTGCAATAAATATTAATGTTCGGGGACTGAATTAATTCCGGGCAATAAATCAATTAGTGCTCCTTGGGGTACAGCCACAATGCCTGGCAATAGCACGTATACGACCCGTACCGCACCGGGAAGTGGATTGGAGCTGTTGACAATTTATGATTGATTCGCTTTGCGGGTGCACTGGCCCCGAGCCACCACAGGCAACGGGACGAGGAACGAGGAACGAGGGACACGGGACACGGGACACAGGACCTAGGACACAGACCCCCAGTGCTCATAGCGCCCTCCTGCCAGTGCTATCCACTCATTGTTCATTTGCATATGCACATGCAACGAGTCCTGTGGGCCGTGGCCCCCTCTGCCCCCCATAATGAATGATTCGAGTGCTGCGGCGGCTCTGGGGCTTTCTGCTCTCATTTTACGCAAAATTAGCCTTGGCATCCGCCGCAGACAAGTGCTGCAGTGCTGCAGTGCTGCTGCTCCTAACGGCAAAACAATTGGACCCCGGACTTGGGCCAGGTGCCCACGATAACGATTACGATAACGATTACAGTCCACCCCCACTGATGGGCGGTAGAGAGAGGTAGAGACTTGGCTCAAAGCTCAGAGGAAACACTGGCCATAAAACGCTTACTGCTGGCTGCATGTTTAAATGTGGCCAGGACTACGCATGCCATTCCTCTCCTCTCCTCTCTCTCTCTGTGTGTGTGTGTGGACTGTGGACTGTGGACTCCCATTGCCTGCGTTGTCTGCTTAATAGTCTTAAATATTTATAAAGCAAACGCTGGGCAGCCGCAGAAGCTCCACAACTCCACAATGATGTGAGCAGAGCCTGAAAGGGTTAACGATTAATTGAAACCAAGCCGAACTACTCCTGCGGGCTCCTGTTCCTGGTCGTTAAATATTGAAGAGACCAACGCATAAACACTGGGCTCCCGGGGAAAATTGAATATAATTTTATTGCCCTGGAAAACGGACTAAGAGCTTACTGGGAGACGATGGATCCATCCAGAGCAAGCTATTAATGCGTATCGCAACGAAAGCTGATTAATGGGCAGTGCTGCTTGAGGGCAGTGCCCTGGTGGATAAACGATCTTTGTGTGGAAGCTAAACCACCACTTAGGAGCAGATCCACCAGAGACTGAAGAGACTGAAGAGAGAACTCACGGAGGGAATGAAAATATTGGTCAAATCTTGATTGTTCAACGATCTTTTGGGTAAGCGTTTTCGGCTTCTGGCTATCAAAAATAATAAAACCCTCCTGCTTATCCAGATCGCAACTCTCTCACACACACACACACACACGAGTATCCTTTTTTCAGGAGCTTCCTATTCCCTTTCCCAGTAACTGTTTCTTTCCGCAGCTCAAATCTTACTGCGGAATCTGCCTCATCTCCTGTAATTGATGTTTCCCCCATACAAAACACTCTCCGTACTCGGTATTCAGCACTCAGTACCTTCGCCCAACCAACACTGAAACCCACTCAAAGTTTAACCAAAACCATTGCCCGACAGACAGACACACACACACACACACACACAAACACACACAGGAGACAGGAGACAGGAGGAGGATATGAAAAGTGTGCCCAGCGGAGCGTGGCAGACAAGACAAGGCGCTTTTGTTCAGGCTGGAGCCTTTCGTTTTCGCTTTTTGCATGCAGAATGTTACCTCAATTAAAGATAAGTATCAAAGTGCATAGTAATCAGAAGGCAGCCAGGCGAGCGACGGGGCCAATGAGTAACGTAACACAGCCCGAGGGCAAGAATGGGGCAAAGAGGGGCTCAGTCCTGGCTCTGGCTCTGGCTCTGGCTCAGGCTCAGGCCCAGCGCGGTGGCAACACTGGCAGAGAGTGCTTGTCAAAATGATTGTCTTACATGCATTACCCTCTTTCCTGGGTTGCTACCCGTTTTCCTCGTTTCCCTGTTCCATGGCTCCCATCATTCAACCATTTTATGTTTGCCTGCTGGTCGGAGCGGACGGGGGTGCACCTGGCGTATGCGCAATTTTTCCTTCCCGTGTTACTTATTTTCGTTTTGTTCCCTTTTGTTGCACATCGTTTTTCAGCCACAAAATGTAAAATTTTGTGCGCCATTTTTACTGCAATTTATGCACATTGGCAACAAAGGAGAAAGAGAGAATGAGAGCCGAAGAGTGTGGGGAAGCAGCGACAACAAAAATGAATCCGAAATCCCAGACCAGACCAGAGACCCTGCCACGGTAGGAGCGGTACGAGCGGCAGGGACGGAAGAGACGGTCGGGACGGAAGGGGAGGGCCCTCTTTGGTCATTGCTTGTTAACACACCCAATGGGAGTTATTAATGTTTGCGGGGCTTTATTTACGGCTGGCAGGCAGGCATCGAGAGCTCCTCTCCGGCCGGATGGGACAGCGCCGGACAGGAGTCGCCGGGCAGGCTGCCCAACGAGTCGATTTTTTACGACTCCCAACGGCCGAACAGCCGCCGAAGGATTCGCTGATAGGCACTCAGCCCCTCCAGGCCCCGCTCCACCTCCTCTGAAGTTGATTTAAATTTGGTGTAGTTAATTTTTAACCCAATTTTTTACGTATACCCAGCAACTTTTTTATTTATGTGCACCCGCCCTTTTAATGTTGCAACATTTTATTGCCCGTATAAAAAACAAAAACCAAAAAAAA